CTCTTAAGATGTACGATGGACGTCCATTTCGTCTTCAACGATTTCTATTATAGACCAATAGACGGGATAGCAATGGACTCACGTCTAGGCCCAACTCTAGCTAGAAAATGGACCACTTAATGAGGCTATTAAGAAACTTGATCTATACTGCCGGTACATGGATGACACATTCATTGTTGTAGATCAAAACATCAATAAAGAAAAACTCCTAGAACTATTCAACAATATAGACCCGGCAATCACTTTCACTAGTGAAGACGAGTGTGATAAAAATCTGAATTTCCTTGTATCATACTAAGCAGGCGAAGTGATGGCTCGTTAAGTAGAAACGTGCATAGTTTTAAAGCTAGCAGAGCAAAAATGATTAGTTCAGTGGATACTTTAAGACAGGAGCTGGAATTTATCAACACCTCACTGACAGAGACCGGGTACCCTAGTGCGCTCATGAAGAAGTATATGTATAATGTAAAAAAGAAGTCGGAAACTGCGACGGTCAGAAAGAAACTCTTATTCATTAAACTACAATTCAACGGGGATGTGGCTAGCGATACCCTGCAGGACAGACTAACGAAAGTAATTAGTAGGACATTCTACGCAGTTGAACTTGCGATGACCTTATCCAGTCGACCAGCGATGTCTACTCAAACGAAGGATAAGTTATCTGAGTTGGCCTTCTTAATGTGCATTTACAAATTCAAGTGCTCCTATGGAGATATATATTGGGTATACTACTAGGCAACTTAATCATCGAATGAGTAAACATCGCGCAGCATAGTTTATGAAGGGCCAAATAAAAACTACACGCAGTTCTAACGTGGCACATCTGATTGATAGTGGTTACATCGTAGATTAATCCAAGTCATGAAATGCCGAAAATTCTGATTTATGCTTAGTGGGATATAATAAATACATCGTCATTTTATGATGAACTTCCTACATAATGCCGAATTGAATTGAAGTTACAGAGTCTATAATCAAGTTAAGAACACTTACTAAACGTGCTAAGTTTGATCTCTGTAGGAGTCATAGGTATGCATCAGTAAAAAGATTCTAACTACAACGAAACAGCTATCCAATTCTTTATAGCTTTCATAACTCATTCAGCTGAAGCACTTTGTAAAGAAAACTATCTAGGAATTCAAGTAATCTGGAATAAAACAGAGCAATTTTTTCTCAAGTTAATTTAATAGGTTTTATATAAACCTCAATAATAACTAAATAACCAAGCATCATATGATTTTGAGATGGTGGAGAAGATTTGTAGCTCAGGTAGATGATTGTGGTGGTAGTGTTTGGTTCTCTGAGCTGGATGTTTTGGTTGTGGAGCTTTCATTGTTCTTCTGCTGAACAACAACATCATCAGCACAAACTTCAGATAGAAGTGAAGTGGACACACATTTGATTGGAACAATGCGGAAATACTGGATAGGGCGAGGACAAAGAACACTGGGGAATTTTTAGAAGCTTGGCATTTAGGTCAATCAGAAATCAACAAACACATCGACATTGATCCAATGTATCGACCAATCAGGAAAATCATAGGTGACATAGGATCAAGAAACAGATCAAAAATGGGGGATACAATCAAAACAAAGGTGCAAACAACGACAGGTTTAAGGTCAACAACACACAATCAAGATCGAGGTTAGCAGAACAAGCTACAGGTCAAACGTGGAGAAATTCGAATGCTTCACTTCTATCTGAAGTTTATGCTGATGACGTTATTCTTCAGAAGAACAACGAAAGATCCACAACCAAAACATCCAGCTCAAAGAACCAAACACCATCACCACAACCAAGCATCAATAAGTACATTGACATTTCAGTCAAGTTACCTAGTTGCAGATACGAATTATGTGGAGAGGGAGATTGACATTCCCATTACTACTCAAAGGTTGAAAGTCAAAAACTTAGACTAATTTAACATAACGTTCTTCGTAAGTTTTCACACACTGATCATATATTATTTGTATGTGGAACATTTCTTTTATTGTGAAGATTTAGACAGATATATATCATTGTGATTACAAAGTGTGAAAGATTCGCCAACGATCGATCCTCAATCAAATATTCCTGTCAATCAGACCATCAAAACATTTATCAACCGTTGATCTTCTTACAAGGCTAAACATCAATAGTCTCTGAGTGATATAGTGGATTATTGATACTATAATTTTTAGTGGCTGCCCTAATCTAGTTTATTTCAATAAGCGTCAAACATCAAGGTAAAACTGATAGTAGATTTATATGACTAATGTTGATACAGTAGTAGTCAAATTTGTGAATAAGTTGGATTGCTTGCTTGTTGTTCATTGAAATGTCGCCTTTTTGATAAGCAAGAATGCATATACTTTTTAATCGATATAACAAAAGATGCTTATGTTTTACCTATTTTAGTGAAACTGAGACTATAAAAAAAAATTTTCACCTACAGAGAAACTGACAATCGCTTTAGTTAAGGGAAACAGATTTTCTAAAACAGCAAAGAGATCGAATTCTAACGGGTTTTCTCTTTTTGCTTTTTTTATTGATTGATCCTAACTAGTTGCATTTTGATCAGTTCATTTAAAAATGTTTGCTGAATCAAAACTAAGACAGACAGACAGATAGATAGATACAATGCAGAACTTCATACGTAAGTACATCAGTTCCGGTTGCCATACCACATAATAAAAACTAACAATCTGAAGAGATGTCCAATCAAAAACAAGAATATTGTAAGCATTTTAAGCTTTTTATTAAAAAAAAAAACGAACAGGATGAATAATGTCAAACAGATGGGTAAATCTTTAACCAGTTAGTTAAAATGCATAATATTATGATAAATGTGAACATTCTATGAATTATGCAATAGACAGAGTATAAAATTAACTATGTAATGTATTCCTATAAGGAATGTCACTTTGTTACAGCACACTATAGTCTGAAAATATTGTCAAGAGGCTAAGAGCATTACAGCTGGAGCATAAGTGAATAACTAGCGACTCTTAAATTTATCAAACGTTTAAGTTCTACGTAAAACAATTTGGTGTGCTATTAGTGCCTGTGTAAGTTTAAAAAACGCTCAATGATAGCTAAAATTGAGACAAAGCATTACAATCTTATTCATGTGAAATTACCCAAATTTTTTTCTTCGTGGTACGAAAGAGTTAACATCAGACAGAGGAAAAACAGGGGTTAATTTACGATAAACTAGGGTGACATGCCTGATAACCAATCTTGATGGTCCAGTTTCATTTGTTGCTTACCTTCCTTCAATTCTTTCTTGAATGAAACATGGTTCGACATTTTTCATTTCTTTCATTTACATGACATATTTCATATTCTCTTTCACAGTTTAGCTATGCCTCTCTCTTGTTTTCACTCTCAATCAAGTGGTGGTGTTTGTTACCTCTAGAGGATTTAAGCATAATTATGTGAAGTCCGAAAACTTGAACTTTAATGTTTAATGTGATATAAACAGGAATAAATTTTAATATAAGATACAATTTTAGGGTCAGTCAGTTAGCTACAACGTAGAACTTGGTACGTACGTACATCAAATCAAAATGTCATACAACCTTAGCACAGAGAGACGGAATTGTCAATTCATATCCCTTAGTAGTAGAGTTAGTAAACGTATTAGCGGTCATCGAAAAGATTAGGGATCAAGTTATGAATTGAGAGGTTTATCCAAGTGAAATAAATTTATCTAGCGATAAAAGATCATGAGGAATCTAGGATATCAGAATTTAAGAGAAGACTAAGAATGGATGCATTTGCGCCATTGCAAACGATTTTGAGCCATGTTATTCAAAGTCTCTCACTAACGGTTACTATCGTCTCGCTGACCCCAACCAGGTAGTCTATACATACTTATACGGCCAAGTTCAATTGTCAATAACTTAATGCATTTGGTTTGGCCACTCTTAGTTTTCTCCCAGCCTACTCCTAAATCAGACAAGATAGCCCGTCGAGGCAGTCGGTAGGTCGATTTACATAATACATGTCCCATTTATCTCAACTGATGAAGATTAACTACCTAATTAATTGATCCTTCATGCGAAACAGAATAGTGATCTTAAAGCGGCATTCGACTCTGTCGATCGTGAGGTTCTGTGGCAGTATCTGTCATTAAAAGGTATACCGAAGAAGTACATTAACCTTATACAAGCTCTCTACCATAACACCACTGGTCGACTAAGAGCTTATGGCGAACTGTCATCGGAATTCGTTACTTCAAGTGGTCTCCGTTAGGGAAGTTCACTTTCTCCATAGACATGCTCCTAAATATAACTTTATCCTCGTCTGAATTTTCAGGAGTGGACCTTCTACCAGGAAAATCGCTTACTGACTTAGAATATGCAGATGACATAGTTCCATTTCGTGAAGACGCTGACAAAATTCAGAGTCTTCTGACCACCCTAACCAACAATGCCAGCATGTTCGGGATGCGGTTCTCACTCTCGAAATGCAAAATGTTGCTTCAAGATTGGGTTTCATCGGCACCTGAACTAGTGATAGGGAATGAAGTAGTCGAATGAAGTTACTGACAAGTGGACTGAGTCATGTTGGTAGATGTAGGCTACCTGATTGGGGTCCGCGAGACGAAAGTCACCAATGGTTAGAGACCTTGAACGACATGGCTCAAAATCGTTTGCAATCGCGCAAGTGCATCCATTCATTTTACTGTCTCAAATCCTAATCTTCTGGATTCGTCAGCACCTCTACCTTTGTCTTTCTAACCTTATCTCACTGAATTATACTTCTTGAATAATATCTTCAGACCCTAGTTTTCTTCATTACCAATAATACCTCTACCACCTCTATCACTATGGGATTTGATTCGACATTTGCGTCTCTGTGCTAATGTGGTATGGCAACATGAACTTATGTACATATGTACGAAGTTCTACGTTGCAACTGACTGACTGCTATGAAATCAAGCTTATTAGTAAAAAAAAAATTATTTTTCTTCAAATAAATAAGATATTATTTTTATTTACCATCTGTTATATAATCTCACAGGAGGCACAAGATAGACTGTCAAATCAACTTCTCATGATGAAAATCAGAGATAAGTTGAACCGAAAAATCTACCATTGCATCTATGAGCCTTTTCTCAACACATTTAGGTAGAGATATAAATAAATCTGCAGAAAGTATAGTATTATTTCGTTCATAAATTCACAATAGTCAATCGGTCAGAAGAAATGCAAAACTTAGTATACACGTGCATCAGTTCACGTTGTCATATCCCATTAGCATTGAGATAAAATGGTCAGGACCATTCAAAGAATAGTAGAGGTAAAACTGTATCGAAGAAGATAAAATTCAAGAAAATGTAAATCAGTAAAATAAATTCTTAAAAAAGTTACGAGGAATTCAAAAGAAATGAATGAACAAGAGCTATTGCAGATGATTTTGATTCGAAAACTCTAACTATCAGTTAATAGATTTGCCATTCTTACTCAGTAACCTATTTCTAATCTCGACATTGATCTCGAATTCAGAGACAGAAGCGTATCCTAGGCGTATTTGCATTTTTGTTTTAGGTCGGTGATTAGAAGACATCATTTTGTCAGCGTCTTCACCAAAAAAAGGACGATATCATGTGAGTGATCAAAGTCAATAAATAAATCGCCTGGTAAAAGTTCAATTTGTGGACAAACAGACGACGATAGTGTCGTTTTCAAAAGCATGTCAATCATAAAGTTAAATGAGGATGGAGATAGTGAACAACCCCGGAGAACACTACTTGAAGTAATCAACGACAGTTTGTCATAAGCTGTGATTCAACCAGTAGTGTTTGAGTGGAGAGCATGAACAAGGTTAATGTGCTTGTTTGGTATTCCTTACAATCACAGACAGTGCCATAGAACCTCATCATCAACAGAGTCAAACGCTGCCTTAAGGTAGAGGAATACAACTATTGTGGGACGCCGAATTGCGTGTCTATGTCCTAGGACCTTACGAAGTGGTAATATTTGGTGTATACATCCTTGATTAGGTTTGAAACTAGCCCGGTTTTCTCGAGTCTGCTGATCACGAGCTCTAGTCAGGCGTTGATGCATTATTTGAAGCTAAGATTTCAAACACTACTAATTAACACATATAAATGAAACTTTTGAGATTGCTAGGTCTTTGTTTGACAAACATAATGTTAACGATGGCTATCAAAATGGCTTCCAAAGTGTCAAACTTATTTATGTTTGCTTTTTCAGCATTACTATTATTTGTATTCAAATACCGTATTCTATGACTTAATATTAATGTTGATTCATTTTTAAGGCAATCATCGTAACCGGTGGTTAAAGACTTTGAATGACATGGCTCAAAATCGTTTGCATTCTGGATTCTAATCTTCCAGATTGCTTATGACAATTTTTCTCTCTTTAAATTTACCTCACTGGATTATACTTTGAGAATCATATCTTCGATCCCTAATCTTTTCGATTACTGCTAATATTTCGACAACCTCTACTACTATGGGATTTCAAATGACAATTTTATCTCTCTATTCTAATGTGATATAAAAACTTGAACTGATGTACGTATGTATCAAGTTCTGAGTTGTAGCTAACCGACAGAAATTGTACAAAACAAGATTTCTAAGTAGTACGAGACCCCCTAAGAACTGATGGCAACGAGTACAAAGATGATTTCGACGAATGTTGTTTTTATTACCACTAGCACCGATATTACCTACTCCAGCCTCAACAGTTCGGCTATTCAACTTTAATTACTCCATTAATAATATTTCTAAATATTCTTTGTAAATAAGTCTCATAGTATTTGTGAAAATATGATAAGAAATTGAAGACAATGATGCATTTGCCTAGACAGACAGATACAACGCAGAACGTTGTACGTCGTATCTGTCTGTATTTGCAATAATAAAAAATAAAAATAATGTCAGCATAAAATGTTGCTTATGGAGATGAACATTTTCGATTAATATTTTGGAATTTGAATATGTGTTCAATCAAATGTTACTTCACAAAAAATTAATAAATAGTATATACAATATATTGTATGGCCTAATGAAGTACATGCCTCTAAACTCTCTAGTACGACCGAGAGTGAGGAAAGTTCGCTTTGCCTCTCGAAATCCTCTCATATGACTACGAGTATATAGACACTGACAAGAAAGTACTACTCACAACCTTGTCGAGGCGATGGGTGTTGTTTACGAAATTGAAAGGAGGGAAAGCGAATGCCGAGTGTTTAAACCGATTTGAAGGGTACAGAGGATCCATTTATGGGAGTTGAAAGACTCAAATTCAAAACAATGCTGTAGACGGACTCCAGGATCCCCATGGAACAAACGGCGTATGCACCTGTTGTTGGGTTACTAGCTATTATGTAAATGAATCTGCTCCACTGCCTTTGCGTATAGACATCTCGGTTAAATGCTTAGGGAGTCAGTGGCTTCCTTAAAAAAACCATCTACTTCAGTTTGGGCATTCAGGTGGTATCTAAGCCCACATATAGTTTCACTTATTTGTGTAGCGCATAAATAATTAGGCACCTCTTTGTGCTGTTTAAATAAATAAAATAAATTATATAGTATATACATTATACATACATATATATATATATACATATATATATTGAATAATTATATTAATAACTATCTCACTTACTTTCACATGTACCCATTGTGTAGTAAGCTCAGGAATACTTAAAAGCACACTTAATAATCGTGTAAACAATTCTTCAGAATTTAAAAGTTCTTCTCTAAAACAATATGAATAATAATATATTCATAATAATCTCACTAAATAATTAATTATCTAGAAAAAAAATGTTAATCTCATGATTATTATTTCTACATAAAAAAAAGGAAAGATGAGACTGCTTACATGAAATCGTAATTATATTTTTGAACATATAATACAATTAATTCCATAAAGTACAAATTTGTATTTTGATGATTATAAGATGATTTTAATTACAAGACTTTTGTGATTACGCTAAATTAAATTGACTAACATAAAAATACAGATGTACCTTATCATGCAGGGATACTACCCCTAACTCAGGTCTCATATAGTCGAAAAATGAAAATTTCGGAAACGCGAAAAAATCATTGCCCGACATGAGACAAAGGGTAATAGAAGTGTTTGGGCCTATTTGCATCAAGCTGGGCTGCCTCTTCTACTATCCTACGATGCCATATATATGTACACCATATGCTATACTGCTATATAGAGCTGAAGGTTTCCTATGAGACTAGAGGTTCACTGTGTATATTGTAGATGGCTTGGCTTTGCTTTGGTAAGCATTGTTAACAGTCCATATACAAAACTGGTTAGCAGGGCGACCGATTTCATTGATATAGGTGGTTGTTTTGCGACATTCCCGAGGGCCATTGTCATCGGGGTGCTGTATTACATATCACCACCATTGCTAATAATAATGAGTTTGACAGTCATGTAAGCGGGATGGGTCGAAATGGCCTGTTCATGCGGTGCATTTTGATTGACGCGATCATTGACCGGAAATATATATACCATTGTGTGTATATGAAACGGTGTGAATGGTCCACCAGGGTATCAGGTACCTGTGTGGTTGCATCACAGGATTGAGCCGAACTGTTCATGTAGTAATGGTAAAACGTGCCCAGTCTCTATGGTTCTCCTGAAAATCAATGTAAAATTGCCCTAGACAATACAGAGTAAATTTATATAATAAATTGTGAACCTTATCATGCAAGTTCACTTATTACGTGTTCAGTAGTCAACTTATAACAATCAACAGAAATCTAAATGCCATACGATAACCAGTCATTAAAGCTGTCATTAGAACAGACTAACTTGATACTTGTGAAATGTTAAAAAGTCCTGTTACTGTTGTCTAGAACGTTAATGAAGGCTTTTTAAATTAGACCTTTCATTTTAGAAAAACTAAGAACTACTAGTGCAATCTACACGAACGATAAGTTTTTTTCTAACAAATCTTTATACTTGAATTTGAACTCAGATTTTCAACGACTAGTAAATCGAGCTTTCTACCATTAGTAGTCAGAAAGCTTAGGGTGATCAGAGACTAGTAGAATAACCGATAACAGATTTTACAAGGTACCAAAACGTTTGGTGGTTATGTAATTTCCCATTGCTATAAGCTTTTTATTTTATCATAACGAATGCGTGAACGATGCTATTATAATTTGTCACTTAACGCCAGTCATATTTACTTATTAAACTAAGGAGTGTTTGTCAGTCTGTCTGATCTTTACAGATACATTTGTTCTTTACATTCTGGTTCAGTACTTTGATTTTTTTTAACGGATCACTTGAATATATAACCACATACTGACACAATATAGTTGGAAGTAAAACTCCCAGGTTTATAAACAGATACATTAGTAGGCGAGAAAACGTAAAGTATACTAAAAATGACTACTCTCTACTAGGTTGCAAACAACTAACAAAAACTTTAGTATCTTTGTGACATGTAGTAAGTGAATCTATGGTGGGAACTTTGAGGAAGACCGGATGCAATTGGCCAATAAATCGAGTCCAAAATCCAAGTGGTGAAGTATGCTAAATAAACAATTATTATTCAAGACTATGGATTCTACTCATAATAGAATCCAAGTTATGAAGAAAATTATTTCTAAAGCACACTGGTGTTTAAAACCTATTCTTCCTAAGAATTTAATACCAACATACGTTTCATAAAACATTTGGGAGACAGTTAGGTATATAACATGTACATGACTACCGAGTTACGCCAAACCTATGGTAACAATTTGAATTGGACCTCACCATGTCGAAATAGGGAACCACTTCGATTTACGCTTCGTGTATCAGGAGATTCAACAGTTGCTTTCCGTGACGTCGCTCGTTTGGGTATACCACTGAGCTCAAAAGCGAAACTAGCTCGCCTATGCTGGATACCAGTGGACAGTCGCTCATGTGCTGTTTGACTAAACGGGGCAGTAAGAACTTGGAAACATATGGACACTCACCGTTGCCTCTTCGTTGTCTCTGATTGCAGCTCAGATGAGGCAAACGATTTTACGGAAAGCGTTAAAACCTGCTTTATAAACTAAGCACCCTGATGTAATAGGTAGACCAAGCGAAACGGAAAAACAATTGGATGGATGTTAATGTGTTGCGGCGCATCGAACAGATAAGGGCGATCGTCTGTTGAAACTATGCTCAGATAACCACCTATTTATGGCAAAGGCAAACTTTAGGCATAAGGAAAAACATCTTTTGACACGGCGATCACCAAAATCGACTAAATACTGGACCCAACTAGACCACATCGCTATCAGCCACCTATGGAGAGGCTTGACAGAAGACTGAGGCTCGTTCCGGAGCACGTGTTTAAATTCAGATCATGCTCCAGTTTGAGCACCTATTTGTTTGCAGCTAACTGGTTATAAGGAAGACAGCAAAGAAAACCCTCAGAGTTCTACTTAACGATAACAAAGCCAAGTATATTTCGACAACTAAAAAATAACTAGACTGGCATGCAAATGATGCCTACCACCAGGCAGCTTGGAGTGATATCCAGAATACTGTGGAAACACCAGTACTATCTACTAGCTTACAAACAGGCTGATAAAAAGCATACGCAATGATTGTGAGCGGTGGTGTATAGCAATTATGAATTAATTACTCAGATTTTTAAGGATGATGGTTCGGTTTTAGTAGTTATATTGACTGACAGCTAGAATCTAGGAACTGGAAGTAATCTCAATCACTGACTGTCCCAGACTATGAGAAAGGATAAGTCCTCATGTAAAAATCACAGGAATCCATTTAACTAATATAGTAAGCAGTTCCAAACGAGTACATTAAACTTTTTCAGGCTCTCTACTCAAACATTACTGGTCGAGTTACAGCTTATGGTGAACTGTCATCGCAGTTGACTACTTCAAGTGGTGTTTGTCGCGATTGTCCACTTTCTCCATCCTTATTTAACCTCGCCATTGACACGCTTCTATAAAAGACACTTACATAATCTCGCTTTTCAGCAGTCGAACTTCTACCACGAAATTCACTCTTCGACTTAGAATATGCCGATGTCAGAGTTCTATTTCGTGAAGGCGCTGATGAAATGCAGTTTTCTGACCACCTTAAGCAACACTGCGAGCATGTTCGGGATGCGATTCTCCTCATCGAAATGCAAAAGGTTGTTTCAGGATTGGCTTGCATCGGCACCTAAACCAGTGATAAGGATTAAGTAGTTGAGTGTGTTGACCGCTTCACATATTTGGGAAGTATCATCAATCCTGAAGGCCTCGTGCATGACTAAATCTCGGCATGAACACAGAGGCCTCGAGTGGCTTTCGCCAACTTGTATCACTTATGGCGAGATATCCGTCTGTATAATTTCAAGAGTAAGTATTTGCATCTTAAATACCCAACTGCTTTTATATGATTCAATCATTTTGACATTAAACGCGTTACTCATAATTTTAAGAAAATTCCTGACAAGAATACTAGAATAATGATTGTATAAACCGAGCGCTGTTTGGACTTGTGTTATTGACTAAGCAGTCGATACGAATAGTCAGTTACAAGCATATTTACTTGCATCAGAGTGCTCTTATAAAAGCAATATGGTCGAATCAGTGTTGGAGGGCATAGGTAATTACTTAATAAATGGATACTTACAGGGCTTTTGAGTCCTCTTCACTGGTATTTAGCTGATTCTTATCTAAATTGAAAAATAAAATACTGTTAAGAATTTTTTTACACTATGAAAAGTCACTTATGATACAATAATCACGTAAAACATTGTTCACCCCATGACAAGTCATAAAATGCTACTAATCAGAACTTTACCTAAACTCATACTTTTGAAATAAAATACTGACCGCTTGGCATACCTACTTTTTGTATTGGAAACTTAAACAGTTTATCACAAGTTTTTTTAAAAGAACTCGTTAAAGACTAACCCATATTACAGCTGAATTAGACATACGTCTAAAACAGTCCTGTATAATTAGTCAAATTTCTAGATGAACTTTCGCTAGCACACCTCGGAACAAACTTTAGAATTAGTAATGCCTTCATTCTTGAAGAACTTCATAAACGAATGGGTATATTAGGAGTCTAAGCACTCCGATGTAACCGTTAGATTCTTACAGACACACAGTTCGTTTATTTTTCGGAGATTTAGAATCATAAGATTAGTCATTCCATAATGTTGGCAAAAGACGTAGTTCTAGTTCGTAGAAGAGTGGTATATGACACCTAAATAAGTTTGCAGCATTATTTATTTTGAACCCTAAATTAGGTAATTTCACTAATAACTGATAGAAACTATACTTTCACACATAGAGGAGTAAGTCCAAAATTCAAATTCAATATGGTTTCCGAAGTAGGAAGTTAGTGTGAGAACATTAGATAAGTAATTACAGAGGAAAAACAAGGATAAACTACATGAACATATATAGAATACTTACTTGCTATGACAACATCGCTGACCAACTTGATATCAGCACAATCCTGTGGACTGTCTAGGTGAATACATTTAAGGTGGAATTGTTCACATAGATAATACGCGATTAAAACTCTACTAGTAGAAGCAGTACGTAAAATTAATTACTTTGAAGTACGGCAGTGAAGAATATTGGGATCATGAGGATAATAAATTGGAACGAGACAAGTTTCACCGTTATACTAAAAAATATTTTTATGAAAGGTTATTACTTCAGTAAGGATAAAGAACTTCTCATCTTCAGATATATTTAAACGAGAACATACGTATTTCAAGTCTGTGATATTATGTACCAGTACCTACGAAGTGAAATTAAAGTTTTATTATACTTTGCGGCTGCAGTCAAATAGCTTCCCACTGGGCAGGCGTATAAATTTTGGTGGCGTGCAACTTGACTTGCCGAGAACCAACCCACCCATCCTTTAAGCTTTCATAACCAGCGCTTGAATTACAAGCCTAGACACAGAATTAGGCTGGAACATCTAAACAAATTTAGTAGTTGTCGGTAACGTAGTTCAAGTATTGTAGTATGAGCTTATTTTCTTCGCTATTGAAATGGTGGTGAACATTTGTAGCTGATAAAACAAAACTCTACGAAGTAAATACTGTTTTGTTATGGACTACAGTTGTGCAGTGCGCAAGTAACAACCTAGGTTTCCTCAAAATATCTATCCTGGCATTCTGTACGCATACTTGGTTATGATAACGGAAAGATTCAGTTGATAATATAGTTCTTTAAGTGTTGACAGTTTAACCAATTTCCTTTGGTGACTAGAGAACTTAAGAAATCGTTGAGCATTAATTTGAAGCATGGGGTCCAAAGTAGATGTGGAGATCCCGCTAATAGGTTTGACGTTTCCAGCAATGAGTCTCAGATTGTCAGGTAGGGCACTGTCATCGACGTGAGCTGGCATGAGACGATCAATGCTGAATATATCAACGCGTCTTTTGATGACGAGAGATCACGTGAAAATGTCCTTCATTAGGCTGTTGCAAAGGTTTGCGCACCGAATCTACTCGTATGAAAACATGTGAACAGGTAGACAACTCTCGAGGAAGAGCAACTTGTCGATGCCATATTCGAGTTGACACCGGAGGCAGTGTTCGCATGTACTTAGACAGTCGTTGAACGTAGTCTGATTTGCCAAAATTATTACTGCTCTGTGGTGTGAAACATTCCCCAGGCGGACTCAATGTCGTGCCGTATAATAGTCTCTACCGTAATAGACGTGGTGGGAATAGCTTCGGCTCATCTTGTGAAACGGTCAGAGAAGGTGAATATGTGATTGTACCCATGCGGTAGTGGCAATGGTCCTACAATGTCAATACGAGCGTGATCGAAACCAGCATCCGGTGTCGATGAGGGCAACTTCGTAACTGTTCCCTTTTGATCGTTGACATAATAAGCATTGCTTTACACACACACGGACATCTTTATTCATGGACGGCCTGACGTTTCGTGCAGTGATCAAGCGTAATGTGGTTGCGATACCTGGATGAGACAGTCGAAGACCAGACAGTGGTAAGCAGAAGGTAACATGGGTCTAAAAAGACCAGTAGAATTATCACACAGGATAGTACCTGAGATAGTAGCCAGGGATACTTCCTGGCACTGAAGGGATGTAGAATGTTGAGCTTCTGTACAGGAGGGATCACTAGCTTGAGCAGCAGCCATGGCAGGAAGATCAAGCGGCAGTAAAGTAAGTGCGTCAGCAACGTAATTCCACTCGCCTTTAATATGACGGTCTGTCGTGAACTGAGAGATGTAGTCCAAGTGTCTGCACTCACGTGGTGAGTAGCGGTCAGACTTGGCATGCAAATCACACGTTAGAGGCTTATGGTCGGTGAAGAGGATAAAGTTACGACCTTCTGCTGCATGCCAGAAAAGTTTGACTGCACGGTAGACTGCTATCGGTTCTCGACCAGAAGCGCTATATCTCGTCTCCTTGGACGTGAGACGTCGTGAGAAAAATTCGAAAGGTTGCCAGCTTTCGAAGACGTTCTGCTGCATTACAGCTCCTATAGCGAAATCGGATGCATCAGTTACTACACTAAAAGTGTCTGATAGGTCAGGATGAGCAAGGAGCACAGCTTGAGCTAAAGCCGTTTAGATCTCCCAAAATGCAATAAGCGGGACATCGTCCAGTTCTAATTTGAGTCGATTACTGTGAAGTAAGTCGGCTAATAGTCATACCTGTTCTGCCGCGTTTGGGATGAAACGTCGGTAGACGTTAACCAGACCGATAAGTGCCTTCAGTTTCTTCATTGTGGACGGTACCATGTATTCCATGATTGCAAGTACTGTCTTCACAAGGTAAAATACCCTCATGCTTAATGCTGTGACCCAAGAATTTTATTTCTGGCCTGCCTAGTTCACACTTGTCTTTGTTGGTTATTATTCCGTTATCCTAAAGCCGTTGGAATAAGTGTGTAAAATGTGTATCAACGATTGGTGATGCGATTAGCAGGTCATCAATATAGACGTGAACAAATGGCATTCGTAGGGACTCGAACAGATCGAAAGCAGTCGTGATAGCAGTTTTCTTGATATATTCAAGAGCGACTGGGATCTGATGATATACTCGCACCAGATAAATCTTAGAACAAATAGACGTGCACTTGAGTGATGCTGTGATGTCATGTACGTGGGGGATGGGATGGCTATCATACAGTTTAGCTACGTTTAACGTTCGATAGTCGCCACATGGTCACAAACTAACCCCATCTTTTTTCCTAACCATGTGGAGAGGAAAGTCATAGTACGTCTGAGAAGGACGAATAATACCAGAGGATTGTAAACTGTCAAAATCATGTTTAGCGAAAGCTAATTTACCTAGTACCAGTTGGTTTTGCCATTAGTGGTGGTCCACGGGTGACGATGTGGTGTACCATGATATTAGACTTCGATCTCGAGTGGTTTAGTTGGTCGGGGGAAGTTCTCAAATAAAGCGTAGAATATGTCATCACGCGGACGAAAGACGCCTGTAATTCGGTACGCGTTTATCTGAGCTATAAAGCCCACATGCGTCTGGCACAGTTAATCAAAAAAGAAAGCAATTTATCTGGGTAAGTAACGGTTCTATACTTCTAGAACTGCTTTTCCGAAATCAGAATCCACTGTGGATTCTAAAGTTTTAAACAATATTACACTGTTTTTCATCCAATAATAACACAATGTGTTTCCTGGGAGAATGCTTCCGTATAAGTCGAAAATGGCACCCTTCAAGTCCAGATTAAAGTTTCACCCGCCAGGGTATCAAATCCGATATGGCTGATGCCATAATTAACTATCAATTTAATCAACAAATGCAGTTCAGAAGGAGACATAGAGACTCCATTAAAGGTGCGAAAAATAGAAACTATAACAAAATACAAATATTAACATTACTAAATGGGATTAAACAGAGTACCAGATGTAGCACAGAAAGAGTCAGTAAGAACATATTGCAAATATGTACATGGAGGGATCTTCCCAAAACAAATCCTTCTAAATGGATTCTACACCGCCCTGCAAAATCCCTCCATACGAAACAAAGTCCCTTAAATGCCTCAGATCATGGTTCACTCTCACAACCAAATCCACTCCAGAAGAACGAGTAGGACTTACAGCAGTAAGCCTACCCGCCCTCCAACACGGATATTACCTAACAGGCCCACTTTGTAACGGTACCTTTACTTCAGGTTCTTGATTCCTCTATCTATCGTAGCATAAACTAAAGGTCGTATAAACGTCATCCAGTTAAACCACAATAATATGTGTGGCACGACATAGAGCTGGTCACATCCTATTCGGGAATTGCTCTCCAAATTATAGGGAGGACGAATTGTCAGTCCACCAACAGTTGCACCAAACGGCAAACACGATGTAGTCATTGGTGCCGACTTATCTACGGAAATCCTTGAAGCATAATTATTACACAAGGGTGGAATCTCCAATTTTGATATTTCCTTGCCTCCTAAAGACTCTAAATGGCATAGTGTAGGAACAAGATTCATTCTCCATCTCCTAGAACAGAGATGGTTTGATCAGCTTTCATCTTCGCCAACAAATCGTTTGTCTTATTACTAACATCAAGATTATTATCATCAATATCATGATTCCGTTCTTTCAGACAAGTCATGTTGTTTCTGGTTACACTAGCAACAGCAGAGTGAAACTCTTCCATGGTTGTATAACTCATTCCGCTAGATGAAAGAACAGTATTAGTATCATAGTTGGAAACCGGTAGACTCACTTGTTGTTCTTCGTGTTTCATTTCAGAAGCAGAAGTATTGTGCACATCAGTATTATCTTTATCATGCAACACTGTGGACTGGCGGTTACCAACAGGCACTTTCTTCTCATTATCACCAAACTGACAGTCAATCGGAGAAGAAACAGTTTCAGTTTCACAACCTTGTGTATCTTCAATCACTTCTATAATTGCGGCAGGGTTCAAAGACAAAACACTAGATGATCCATTTGACGAACTAGATTGACTAGTCACTATGGGTGGATTGATCACACTTGCTGTCTCACTACAACCTCCACCACTACTACGATTCTGATGAGCACCATTCTCATTACTTGTCACAACATCCGAACGAGAAAGAAGTTCAGGCTTCTTGGTCGGAGAAGCATCATTTTTCATGTCATTTCTTCTGTATTTCACTTTGGGCAGCAGTATGTGAACGTAATGTACGCCCACTTTGATGTCGATGAGTGTCTTTCGATGTCTCTCGATCACTATTATCCACAGGACTATTATCATTAATAGCCATAGCAGTAGAAGTAGTAGTACTCTTTCGATGACATCCATTAGACTCATGTGCAATATCCAACTTAACTGGACCAACATGACTTCCCTTACTAGGAATGTCATTCACCTCATCTGTCTTATCACTGCTGGTAGTGCTTATTCCGGGACTTGTGGTACAAGTCGATGATGATGGAATGCAACAGACGGACAATTCCATGCTCCATTTCTCATGCTAGATGACTTCTTATGACAACCAGAACACTGATAGTGAACCTTCTAAGTAATGCCATTACTGTGACTGATGCTATTGCCACCATCGCTTAGATTATCCACGCTCAAACATCCAATCTTGTCATGAGCTGAAGTACTGGATGAAACTACACTAGTAGCGATTGAGGAAGCCGCACTACTTACAGTGATTCCGCCCTCTTAACCATCACATTTGTTATTCACATTTATCACAATTGAGGTTTCACCTCACCCTTATCGTCGTCATTATCCACAGTGGTATTATCACACTCCCCAGTTGTTAAAAATTGCAAGATAGTTGGCCTGCGAGCTTTGAGGGTAAACTACCACCGCTACCACTTACACTATCAGTATTAATATGATCACTTGGAATAGTATGTGAATGTCCATCACATTCTGACTCCGAACAAACATCAGCTGGACTTGCTAAGCAACTACTATCTTTCGCTTC